GTAAAATTTGCTCCACCTGTTTACGCCATGAAAAATATATTCTTTCTTTAAAATAAGAACTCCACCACAGAATATCACACACCAATAATATTAGTCTTAAAATATGACAGGAGGGTACCTGTTGGATGTTTTAACTCTTGTAATGTGGTTCACCACTGTCCTCCCTCGGTATTTAGGCAGCTGGTCATAATCTCTCTCCAAAACTTCAATAATGCCATAATAATTACTGACCAAATTGCAACAGCACTTTTGATAAGCACAAATTGCTTGCTGACATTTTTCTTCAACCTTAGCATAGGTGTGTATTGTACCAAAGTTGTTGTTACCCTCAAGGTCTTGGAATTCAACAGTAAAATCATTTCGTGCTACCCCTTACCAAAAAAGATGGTCTTGAAGTATACTTTAAGTATCCTACAAGTATACTGCATCAGTAGTGGTTATACCACAATCATACTTAATAATACTTCAATAGTGCAGCACTTACTTAAGTACATCTGCAGTACCCTTTCTGATACTGCTCAAGTGAAAATCATTTTCTTTGTTGATGTTGGATTCAAGTATAATTTAACTATACTGCTCATGTGAAAATCATTTTCTTTGTTGTTGATGTAGGGTACAAGTATACTTTAAATGTCTCACACAAATATACCAAGAGATGTATATACCTGTACATGTTTATCATGAAATTTATTATTTAAACTAAGTTTTAGCAAATCTTAACATTAATATACATTGTTTCATAAAGCAGTAGTCAGTTACATTAAGTGCAAATTGTCAATTTAAATCTAATGTAGTCATATCACAGATTTGCTTTCTAACCTCAAAGGCCTCTTGGATTCCACGGTAATAAAAGTTTTTATTGTGATGCAAAATGTCTCATGTCCGCAGATGTGCCAAAATCATAATACATAAACATAATCATAAGCATGGGTCAACACTTCAGACTGAGCACATTCATTTGTAGACAAGAATTCTAACGTACTTTAATCGCTTCCTTCTCTTGTACAAATGTTTCTTCATTATAAGATGCAACAATGACACTTTTGGCACCACTGCTAGCTCATGCAGTGGAAGCGAAAGACTGAGAAGTCGAGATGGCTGTGATGGAGCTAGGTTACAGTCCAACTTCTTTGATTTGGGTACTGGTACACTGTGATCATCTAGGTTACTAAGCTCTTATACTTCCTAAAATGGTATCCATCTGTCATAATAATGAGGGTAAAACACCTTTGTAATCACACTCAAAATTGTGATTGCATGCCTTCTGTTGTTTCTCAACTTTGCCATGAACATAACTCAAGTCAAGGTTTCGAGTCTTTGTTTCCTCGACAGGTTTCCGCCACAGATCTTGCATTTGAAGTATGTTTGATTCTTCTCGATTATTTCTACGTAGAGTGAGTTCACATCATTATTTAGATCATCTTCAGAACATGGATCCAAGGCAAAACCATCGTCAACATCCACTGTCCATCAGTCAAACCTTTGCGTGTTCTCTTAACACTACAATCAGGTAAGCCAGCGGATTCTCTTTACAAGCCAATGACAATTTCCAAAATGTCCACGTGATCATACCCGTAACAAAGAAAACTCCATTTGGCACTCATCATTGAAAGTACTTTTCATCCGTTGATCGCTCGTTAATTTATTTCTAGTCTTTTCTCAACTATTTTGATTAAAATGACATCTCTAAAGATGGGGTTTACCATTGTTCAATGGGAAAATGAGAATTGAGCGAGCGTTGTAAATGGAAAGCAAGTTGTTGGCGCTGTGAAGTTAAAAGAAGGGACAACACTTATTGACTGGCCGGTACAAGGGTTGAGCGGCCATTTATAAAGCAATGGATTCTGAAAGTTTGTGGTGGGTACAAATTACGATATTAGGTACTTGATCAAACCTGAGAAGCGAATCGGTCACTTGCATGCCACAGTTTCTTAAGTTTACGCTTTACAATAAAATAAATCTATCCGTAGGCTAAAGGTTTCACCTAATAAAGACAACGCA